GGAGTTCCGTTGCAGTACACGCATTTTGGTGCAGTAGCTGCGCAGGCGCCATCCTCATGCTTCTCCCCGCATGTGGAGCAGCGTGCCTTGTTGCCGCAGTGGGAGGCCGTATGTCCCAACCGCTTACAATTCTGGCAGTTCATGACCCGAGGTACAAACAACCGCACAGGAAGACGAAGTTTTCCCAGCTCGATGTATTGAGGAAGGGCAGATCCAGAAAAGGTCACCCGAAACGAGTCTGTGGGGGTAAAACTCTTTTTACCCTCGCTGAGCGATACTGACTTCATTCTATGAACGGCCAGTATCTTTACCGGAGGAAGCAAGGGGTTCTTGAATCGGCCAACCGCTTGCTTCTCCAGTATCTCGGGGTTCAGGCTCGCCTCAGTGACCACGCCTTCGATCTCCACATCAGAGGCTGGAATGTACACCCTATATTCCAGTGTGAAAAACTGGGAAACAGCAATTTCATTGGCCTGTTTCAGGTTAGCGACGGTCACACGAAGTTTGTTGTGCCTAACCTTCGTTATTTCGGTCACGGCAGAGAATCGCTTTGTCAGATCATCAGATATCTGAACAACATTCAAGGGTTTGTTTTTGGGCTGAAAATAGACAACCCATGGGCCAGTCGAGTCATTCGGGTAGGCCCGCAATCTGGTGCTTTTCTCATCCTGCCCATTGACAGACTGAGACGACGAACCAGGGATGACATCATCATTATTCTGAGATGAATGGTCATCCATGTCGTCTTCTGACAAAACATCCATTTTGTTCAACTAGTGGGAGCGCAAAACGCTCTCCCACTGAACGCAGAGACACAATACACAGAAAACACTACAAACACAGAAATACAAAATGAAAATTTAACTAATGGGGGAGAAAAAGAAACAAGAAAAAAACAAAAACTTATCTGATAATCCTATACTACTACCACCGAGCGTTATATGTGTAGGCGTTTACACAGATGGCTGGAAGAGACGCGCTGCGTGGATGACCTTCGTTGTGGTGCACTTGATCGAGGCTCGGTACTCAGCGCACACAGGCGCACGATGATTGATGAACGATGTAGATGTAGAAACGGGTGCTCACACTCGATGATGATGATACGTAAGCGGGTATGCGCGAGCGCGTGTGCGTGACCACGCAACGATGATGCTCAAATTGGTTTGCGAATTACCAATAGCACGGATTAATCGTTCCGAAAATGACACTTTCTACTACAAAAAAACTCACTTTTCGATCAATTTACCGGGAACTATGCCAGGAGTCACTTAGTGAGAAAAACTGATAATTTATATCAAGCGAATACCGAGAAAACTTCCAAAACAACGGAGCGCGAAACAAGTCGACCGTACTTCTTGCTAGGACGCAGTGAGATGATATCGAACATTTATGGAATATAACTTCGATCCAAACATTCCTTTGCAAACCAAAGATGAAATTAATTATGCTCTTGAATCTCTGACTACTTCTATAGTTTAAGCAAGAGCTACATCATTACCAAAATGTGAGGTTAAATTCGATTCAATTATAATAGACGACGATCTTCAGCTCTTGATCCGTCTTAAAATGTCCGTAGGAGACACTATCAAAGAACAGGCGATCCTGGCGGGATTTGCAAAAACAAATTAAAAAGCGATTCTCTGCCCTGAGGATCAAAACTTTTGAAAATAATGTTTCTAAATTAGACCCGAGTTCCAAACCCTTTTGGAAACTCACAAAAGTTTTGAAAAAAACCTCAAAAGCCTATTCCAGCGCTTAAATAAGGTGGTAAAATGTTGATCACAAATTTGGAAAAAGCTCAGAAACTTGCTAAGCAATTCGAGAGTTCCCATAATTTCAGTTTGGGTCTTACTAGTCCTATTGAGAATCTGGTTGCTCGGGATTATCTGAATATTTTCTCTCGGGAAAATATTTTTGATGATTCCTGGGGGACTGATTTGGAAAAAAAATGTAAAATGATGTATGAAGCTTTTGTAGTTTTTGATATGAACTACAACTTTTTTTTAATAACTAAAATCTGTATCTCTTATGCATGACGAAATAGAGCTGGCAGAACATGTTATTGTTTTTCAGTGAATGCAATTAACATTCACTGAAAAACAAAGGTGGGTTCTTATCACTCTGATTCATCATGCATAAGAGATACAGATTTTAGTTATTAAAAAAAATTGTAGTTCATATCAAAAACTACAAAAGCTTCAAACACTATTTTATGGAATTCTGTTGATGAAAAAAGTTAGAGGCAAATGAATGTAAATGAATGCACGAAATGAATGTAAATGATTTTCCATCCCTGGTGAGAGCTGAATCTTATTACTAATTCAAATTCCAACAAAATTGCTCCGTTATTTCGCAATCTGGGAAGAGAAGAAAGTTAACATTTGAATGATATGTGGATGTGGCACAGTGGGCAATCTCTGGACAAAAATCAAAAATGCAAAATTAACATTGATTCCTCCATTCCAGTTTTCTGTCTTATACTATTGACAAGGTGAAAACCAAATTTTTGAAACAGATCGTCTAAATTAGTATTTTCTGTGATTTTTTTAAGTGGGTCATCTCAACATTTTTTTTGTGGATTTATACGACTTACAAAGAAGGGTGTATATTAGGGTGCGCCATTTATGTGCATCATATTGAACAGAAATTGAATGACACGCAAAGGAATTTTTGACACGCAAAGGAATAGTATCGAGTAATTTTTTTATGCATTTGTCCATACAAAATTAAAAATTCTCCCACAAATCCAGATCATAGCTAAATTAGCAAATACTTTGCACAGTTGTTGGGGACCTCAATACACATCGAAAGAGCAGTGGGCAGCAAGAGGTTGTGATGAACCATTGACCTTCCCTAGTGCACATACCGCTTGGAAACCCAACTTTCGATTAGAGTCCTATATACACAAAAAAAGTTCTGAACTTTAACTGTCGCGTAAACGGCGCCGGTGGTGTAGTGGTAAGCGTGATTACCTCTCACCCCAGCAGGCCTGGGTTCAATCCCAGTCGGCGCCGCCGGGATGTTCTGAGGCATAACATCTCTGATCACGCCTTCCTTCGGATGGGAAGTAAAGCCGTTGGTCCCCGGTTCATGAGTTGATGGGTCGATAGGTAGGGTCCAGGTGTGGGAGCTGCCTTCCTGGCACGTCGGTAGCATTGGTGCTCAGCACGGAAAACAAGACCGACGGAAAAAACAAACCAAAGGAAAAAAAAAAAAAAAAACTGTCGCGTAAAATTTCCTCTCGTTTAATTTTGAGCTATAGTTGGCATAAACAGCGAAATCGCTTACAAGCTTGTATTGTGTGTATTGTATTGTGTATATTCCATAAATTTATGTGAACTATCGTGTAAAATTACGCCAAATCTAGCGTTAATAACGTGTGCGCTATACAGCGCAGAAATTTACATGATTTTTTCATACGGTGTAGGATCGAGTGTTTCTCACCTACCCCTGCACCAAATTGGACGCAACAAACGCCAAATGAATGGTACCATAGTCGCATTAAACTCTATTGAATATTTTTAGAATCGGTCAACTGGTTTCAAAGATATCCCCGGAACATGTTCCGGTAAGTATGGGTCTTGAGAGTAGCAGCTCCCTGAAACGTACCAAACTTATCATGCGACCCATCAAATTACATGAGAATTCAAAAACAAGATCAATGGTGGTCATATTGAGTTCCCAGGAACACATTGGTCACATCCGGACATGATATTTTCAATAGCTCTTGGAAACTTCTTATCTTTCACTGGTGAAAATTTTAGTGTAAAGAGTGCATGAAAAAAAAAACTGATTTACCTTGCGATTTTCCTCCACCATGTTCATGGAAAACATTTTTCAGATTATATTTTTATGGGCTAAGATAATTTTCTTATCATATAACTACACATCGTTCTTACTACGACGCTAGGTTTATGAGTTATGAATATTCAAAGTACGTGATGTCCAGGCAAATCCGAAAACACGTGATGTCGATTATGAAGATATCCTGCAAAAAGATGATGCGCGATGCAAGTAGATGAGAGAAATTAAAGAATATTTTTCGAAGTTTGATTCGCTAGAGTGAGATTTGCTGAGCATCTAGAATTGAGATTTAGATGTGTCGCCCCCTTCGTAAAATTCTGATACCCTTTTTATCTGAAAATTAAAAAAATCCCCAGATGTGTTATTGGAATGAATTTAGAATTGTAACATGAATATGAACCCTGATATCAACGGAATGGCCCAAACGTACACTTGTAAAATAGATTAGTTTCTTTTTTTTTGTCATCTGAGGTTCCGGATTAAGTGCAAGGGAACCATGGAAAAGTTGAGCTTGTCGTTCAGGATAAATGTTCTACTCGCTTCTTCTTCTTCTTTCCTTTCTTCAACGTCGGTCTCTGTTCCGCTCTGGGATTGTTTGTGCCGAAATGCTAGTTTAAGTACTAAACTAGCACTGTTGCTTATCAAATTTAGGAATTAGCAGGCGACCCCGGCGTAGTGGTTAACATCCATACCTCTCACGCCAAAGTCACGAGTTCAAATCTCACCCCCGGACAAGTCACGAATGACCCAATAACACTCTGTGACTATAAAAAATCATATTTGCGGGTATTTTTGCCCCGGGGTTTATTTTTGGCAGGCCAAAAAAACAGTGGAGAGGAAGCAAGCGATGCCCATTGTCCAAGAACAGTAGCCGCCTGTTTTCAAGCATCGGAATGACGCTTATTACTTCTTCAAATTGGAATTATAGACTATACGGAGAATAAGCGACTAAAGCTAAGCGAATGGAAAAATTAATTAGTTTGATAAAAATATTGTCCATGTCTATTTTCATCGCACTAAAAGCAACACATCTACAATCAAAAATTACTAATGGTGAGCGGATTGATCGGATTTTCTCTATAATAATACAATGAATTCATGTGAAATGTCGATTATTGAATATGTCACAGGAAATACGGCGTGTAACAAAAATAATTTTAATTAATAACTTAAATTATCGAACTCTTGTACACAATGGTAGCATCTGAATTATGGTATTGGTAGGAAACTACAAGCTTGCTGTGTCTTTTCACGTACTATTGTATAGTAGTGATTCTATGCTAAATGGGTTTGGCCTCATACTATTTCTATGTGTATCAGTATTTTCATCAAGAGCATCGTCAATACTGTCACGCCTTTCCATTAAACAGTCTTCTGGTGTTTCATTGGATTCTCCTCCGCCAACTACATCGATTGGATCTTCATCATCATCGTCATCGTCAATCCCTCCATCATCACTATCTGAGCTGGAATTGTTTCGATGCTGAGAAAGGTATTCCGCTTTAAGAACTTCTAGATCAACGGTTATCCCTTTCGCTCTTAACTTTCGTGCTTGGCGTTCTAGTGCTTTAGCGAGCTTTTTTCGTCGACGCGCTCTGAAACAAAATAAGAGAATGCATTGATCAATACTAGCAGGTAAAATTTCACGACGAACATTGCAAAAGCTGCATTGAACATTGAATTATTTTCTCCTTGGATAACCATGGTCTTGAGAGTGGTTTAAGTTTGCAAAGCGAGTCATAACCGATTGGTGATCAGGTTGGGATCAGTATTTCACGGGAGAGTTTTAAAGTTTTCAAGAGAAAAAGTATGAGAAACAAAATGCAAGTATTAATTTGCTATATTCGAAAATTCATACATAAGCATTTCCACGCCAAATGACGGATCGGACGACTCGACCATCTTAGATTTGAAAGAAACTTTGAATAATTGTTTGTTATGGGCAATTATTCACACTCAAGTTAAAATTCGGCCATTGTGTATATTGTAAAAATTTCAAAATGGCACCTTCGAAATTTTTCAAAAAATTGTAGCAATGGATCGAAATGAAGTTGTAGAGACAAAGTTGTAGAGTAAAATAATGTTTTGCTTGAAAAATTATTTCTCAAACATTTTTTAACAATTTCAATTAAAAATTTATAAAGAAATCATAATATCAACTTTTGTAATGTTTAAAATTATGGACACTAAAAAATTTACAACAATCGTAAACATGAACTTTTCGTAAAATTTTAGAATTTTTGACAAAAACGTTTTTGAAATGTAATTTATGCTCCGAAAATAATGTTTGAGACATTTTAAATCATTAATCTGTTAAAAAAAATACACGTTCAATAGCGTTCAAACAAAAAGTCCAAAAATGTTACCATAAGTTCTCGTACTACGATTTTTGTCAGCTTTCAAGTGTCCAGCTCAGATAGTGAAAGTGGCCGAATTCGAGCAAAAATATGAATTATTGCCCATAACAAACATTTACGCGAAGTTTCATAAAAAATCGGAGAAGCTCGATTCAAAAATTAATGTTTATTCGCTATTTTGCCTGGAACTGCTCCATAGCTCAATGTTACCCATACCTGAGATGAGTTTTAGGATTGGGAAAACTATGCAGAAAAACTTTGTCGAAGACTGCTACTCAAAAAATATTGGTAACAAACATGACGATTTATCTATGATCATAAAAGTGTGAATTACCTAAATGTTGGCAGCTGTTCTAGTTATAGTGGAACAAATTCCAAGAGTTGAATTTATTTTGAAGTTCAAGTCATAATAAAAATACTATTTTAAATTGAACGATACATATTAGCATATTGACTTATCGAAAATACAGCTATAGAAAGCTATATACAAATTGTTGCTTCCAAATCAAGTTTTTTGTTGTTTCTTTATTAAAGAGATTTTCAGCTGACTCGTCTCTAGATCAATGCAAGTTAATTTTAAGATATAAAAATCCTCTTCGATTTCTTAAGTCATGTCTATATTTACAAGTTAACAATATAAAACAAAGAAAAAGGTAAGGTGCTGGTATAATCTTAAATTTAGGTCCTCATATGGAAATTTGTACAATGTATTTTTGCATTTTTTGGCGGCACCATTCCAGTATACAGTAATCTCTCCATTTATACGGTGAATGGTACCGTTCACCCAGCGCTATTTCTCGGCTGGCCTTCAATCAATTGAGCTGAATGTCTGTAGATAACTAGTTTTTTTTTAAAGATTGTACTCGAAAAAAATGTAGCACTTTCTTTTGTGTATAACTTTTTATTGCATTGGTAAAAATGGATGAAATTTTGAGTAAAACTAGTTTAGAGTGTAATGTTTACATGTGCAAAATCTCGTCACAATCTGTCAAGTGGTTATCGAGATGGCTTCCAAGCAAGAAGTGCTTCGACAAAAATTATGGGAGCGATCGTGTAAAAGCCAGGCCAGTCCCACAGATGGACCCGAAACAGTTTGGAATCGACATTTCGACCGTGTCCCATGTGGTAAAATCATTCAAGGAGACCCAGACGACCCAGCGGCAAGCTGGCAGTGGAAGAAAAGCGAGGACGAGGACGACCAAGGAATGCGAACCTTTCGATTCGGGACGTAGCCAGGAAGGTCAAGACTTCCGTCTGGTTCATCCAGCAGACAATGAAGCGGACCGGACTTTATGTCTTCAAAGTAAAGAAGGCGCCTAACCGAACCGATAAACAGAATACGGTGGCCAAATCCCGCACCAGGAAGCTGTACGGCGAGTGGTTGGTGCAGCCGAAATGCATCGTAATGGACGACGAGACATTAAAGCGGACGCCAAACAGATCCTCGGCCTGGAGTTTTTCGTCGGAAAGTCCCGCCTGTATGTTCCGCAGAAGTTCCGGAAGAAGAAGGTCGACAAATTTGCCAAGAAGTACTTAGGCTGTGAACCATTTGCCGAATTAAATTTAACTCGTGGTTAAAAGTGACATTTCGAAAGTTATTTTCTATGTTGGTCGATCGATAGCACAGGGATTTTCGAACATAGAAAATAACTGTCGAAATGTCACTTTTAACCACGAGTTAAATTTAACTCGGCAAATGGTTCACAGCCTTAGTGTGGCGTAAAATTGTGCGATCTTGAGGCATGAATCGATCATATTGAATCGAATTTGTTTTGAATATAATCGATTCACCGATTTTATGAATCTTTTTGAATCGATCTTCAGATTCATTTTTCAAAATGGCACAAAAATGATTCAAATATAACGAATCATAGGAAAGATGGTGCAAATTAACACCAAGTTCAGTCTAAAGTTGATATTACGTTACATAAGCTATATTGCTATGTCATTTCACTTATAATAGTCATTTAGTGTGATGATTGATATAATTTAGAAATAAATTGTGTAGTACGTACGCAATAAAAGTTGCCGCGTGTAATGCCGCGGATACACTTGGATGACAAACTATGAGCATGAGCATTATTAGTATAATAATTATGAGCACTATACAACAACTAAACACAAACTATACAAGTGTGACCATGAATGCGCTCACAATTAATTATAAAAATAATGCTCATGCTCATAGTTTGTCATCCAAGTGTATCCACGGCATAACATACATACATGGATAGAAATCTTCTTATACCTTTTGTCAAATTTCTATTGCTGATTATTCATAAAATGTATAAGTCAACTAATAAGCAGACGCCTTGCAAAAAGTTAATTAAGATCATGTGTCACACATACCTTTTATGCATTCTTATAGGACCTATGTGGTTTGTCTTATGGAATGTATAAGGCTGATATTTTGGCAAAAATGTATAAGTGAAACACATGAATAAAATAATTGATTTTCGTTTCGTGTACATGATGAGAATATAGTAAATGACTATTTTGATTTCATTTGACATGTGGAAGTTTTTGCTCAGGGTACTTGATAAGGTGAGTAATTTAACAGATCATAATATTAGTTTTATTGGTATTAAATGAACGATTTAAAAAATGAAAGATTAACATATGAAACAAAACGATAAGATGGTCGGAGTGTAAAAGCAGGTAAGTAAGGAAAGTACTTAATTCAGATATCCCAAACTCATCCCAAAAGGACCCCAAGAAAGCTAATTGAGCCATGCGTTTTGCATTGAGCCGATATCGATTCAATGATAACAATCAATTCGAAACTAACGATTTTAAATTGGCTCACTGTTTGACTAGCCTATTGGTCCCAAGCAAACGATTAACGTATCCCATTCTAGTCAAAATTCTAGTACTGCACTATGTTTGTTTTGATTTGCTATGAAAGTTTGACAGATAAAATGAGGGGTCCATGGATTTTCTTATGTTTCGAGGGGTGCATCGATTAGCTTGAGACCGATGATAGTACCAGAGCTGAGCCAAAAAGTTGAGCACGTATCATCGGGACCTTCTGGTCTTAGAGTTACCTCTATGATAATAGCCTCTCTGACGGAACACTTGTTACCATTCTTGATAAATATTCTCGAGCAATGGGGTATACATGCACATAAAAAACGAAAATAGTATCAATAAAAATATTTACCTTTCAATTTAATAGTATCCAAAAATTCGTTACTTCAACAATGAAAATGTTTAAAATAACAAGGTAATTTTCAATTCAAAAGTAGATGTTTTGATTTTTACTTGAAGTGCAAATTTTCAAATAAAAAATTGTTTAACTGTCAAAATTACTTCTTGTGCCGGCGCCGGTGGTGTAGTGGTAAGCGTGACTGCTTTCTAACACTCCAATGGGTCTGGGTTCAATCCCAGCCGAGGTCGGTGGGATTTTTCTGAGGCATAAAAGTCTCTGGTCACGTCTTCCTTCGGAAGGGAAGTAAAGCCGTTGGTCCCGGCCCATGTATGTTGAATGGGTGCGATATCCTACGCAGGTGTGCAAGCTGCCTTCCTGCACATTCGATTGCCGTCAATGATTGGTGATTGGCACTAGATTGCGGAACAGAGACCGACGTTAAATAAAGGAAAGAAGACAAAATTACTTCTTCTGCTGTAGATTTTTACTCATTTCTGGATAGCTTTAGAAAAACGTGAGTAAATAAAAAGAAAAACGCGCAAACCGGGAGGTGAAAACATTATATCAGATTGGTTTTTAAATTAAATTATTCACGGAGTGTTTAATTGTTCGTATGGAGATGAAATACGGCCGTAAAAGTTTTGTTTTGCTTCCACTGGATATTCCCGGTAGTCCCCTAACCGGACAGGAAGGGAATCGAGAGGATCAAGGAGTGTTTTGATTATTTGACCATCAATGCAAACTTTTAATTCTACCAATGGTTTTTTTTTTTTTAAATTCTAGCAACGTTAATTTTTTGTGTGTGGGGATATTCACTACGGATTTTCTCTCATGCTTGGGAAAACAGGCTCATACAAGAAATTCATTGCTATGTGGCAGGCGATCTGGTGGTGCGGCAAAATCAGCAAGCCGGACATAACGACCGGAACCATCAACGGCCAAATATATGAAGAAAAATGCCTGAAGAAGTGCCTGCTGTACTTCCTCCTGTCCCACGAAGGTGACACTCTGTTTTGACCGGATCTGGCATCGTGTCATTACGCGAAACCTTTGATGAAGTAGTACGAATCCTAATGAAAGTATCATAAACGAATGATAACCCAAATGATTGAACCATTCCACAAATGGTTTGGATTATACCCAGACTAACTAACCCCATAACTATTTTATTAGAGAAGCCAACGATGTTGTTTTTATGTCGAAGGAGGCAAATCCGCCAAACTCGCCCAATAGAAAAAAATGGCCTTCATCCATGCTCCGGAAAACAGGGAGGTCTTCAAAAACGACAAGGATTTGAAGAAAGAGTGGATGAAAGTGTGTAAGAAAGATTGCGCAAGTGTTATACAGGATTTGATGGGTAGCGTTAAGTCCAAGGTGTGGGCATTTAGCCTAGGAGAGGAGGTTGAATAAACCAACTTTACAAAAACATAACTAATATGTGTTTATTTATGAGAGTTTCAAAAATATCGGATTTTGGGTGAACATTTTTTTCTGTTGCATTTTTTTCGAGTACAGTCTTTAAAACGGACACACACTTTCAAACCCGTCTTTTTTTATTTGACTTCTTTGCTTAATGCTTTATTGGGCAAGTTTTAAGCTCTACTTAAAAGCATATAGATAGAAAACATAATAAACAATATATTTGAAGCAGCACTTAATTTATATGAAATTTTTATACTCATCTCAATATAACCTGAACACCAGAATAAATTTTCAATGTTGTCAAGCCAGAAATTGATTATTTCAGCTCTTCTAAAAACTGATACACACAACATGGTGTGTTTGTACGATTTTACATAATTTTCGGAGTCATTTTTTGTCCCACGTTTACAACTTTCGAAAATTGATAATCATATCTAAAAAAATCTGATTCTTCCTTATACCGTAAGTTCAAGCTATTCAGTGACAGTTTTCGTTAAGGTTTTAATGAATATACAGATTTGTTCTAATTAAATGATCTGACAAGTAGAAAAAACACCTCAAGGCTTCTACGTAAGTATACAAAAAGGATTCCATAAAATAAAAATAACCTTGTTTGTTTACGCGAGAAATCAAAAAGATAGAAATATTGAATTTTATGTTTTGGTATTTTGTAAATAATTTTTTTGAGAATACTTGCTTTGGTAGGTCATTCTGAAGTTAAGCGTTTGATTATAATTAATTTAAGCAATGCTTGTATTTGATTGGATCATAATCTATACATATACTAAATAAACAAGTATCCGTATGAAATCTAAAAAAAGGTAAAGTCAATGTTTGATGTCCGTTTTATAACATTGAGATCGTCTCTGCCTCACCCAGTTTTTAACTATTTCAAGTATTTAAAAGTTTTAATATCCTTTTCTAGATGCTCCTTACAAGCATCACTCAGTTTTAGCATTTAGAATTCAAAAAGTTTTGGGTGCAAGTAAGTGCAATTAATGTCGTTTTCAGATAAATCTACATTTCCCATTTCCCCAACATTCAGCCAGAATGGCATAGTAAATTGATGACAATTAGATCAAACAATTTTTGTCATGATCAGTATTAAGACAGCTAAGATGAGTACAGAAATTTCGAAAAACACACACACACACACACACAGTGCGCAAAATTTATAAGAGAAGCAAAATCTAAGATCGTAAAAGTATTTACCTTAAGAATTAGTTATTATTTATTTTGTTATAGTGAACTTTTGAAGGACATGAAGTAAATAATTGAAGAAAATTCCTTCATTTTAAAATATATTTTATCGGTTTGGAATGAAATAAATGTATATAACCCGTGTACTAAATGGGAATTGTATATTCGAATTCCACCGGTGCCCTTAGATTTTTTGCAAATGTTCTTTAACACACGTCTCTTACCGATGATATGTGCTTACCTCTTAGTATGTTCAAACTTTCTCATAAACAATTAAATTGACTGCAAAGTCGCTAAGCCGTTAATCAAATTTATAATATTTTTTTTTATATAGTCCTTAGCTGCATATTTTTAGTCCTATGTGAAAAACGTTACATTAAAAAAAAACAAATCTTCAGTTCATCTTCCTCTCCTAGGCTTTAGCATTCCTACTAGATCAAGTGCTGGAGCTCAGATTTTTTTTTCAGTTTAAAGAAAGCATGACAATTTATAGACTGGCCATTCAAATATCCACCTGAAATCATAATATTTGGTAAATATTACGAAAAATAAGTCTGAATACTACGAGACGAGCTATTTTGTAAATTTTTAATATTGGGGAATAGAAAATACAATTTCTTGTGTACTGATGATATTCCTTTTGGTCGATCGATAAAACTTGCCCCTTGGCTGCATATTATACGCTACTGTCGACAGCGATGAAATAAGTAAAGTTATTCTAATTAACTTCCTATAATATATGAAAATACTTATTTTTTCACATCTGGTCTATATAGCTATATATGCACTATCAGGTACAATCCTTTAATGGCTCAATATCACTTCTAGTATTGCCAAAATTCATCCGCGCACAATGAGTGACAACAGTTCTTTTTCGGGCATAACACAAAATACCGATTGCAAATAATTTCAGTGTAATTTTTATTCGTAAACTGCAGTCACAACCCTCATAGAAACAGTTAACTAGTTAATATGATTTGCAACAATATGTAAACATCTCATTATTTTTATATTAAACAAAAACACGAAAAAGCTGTCTACTATGGTAATAATACTCATAAGATTGCACAACACCGATTACCCCAAGCGACGGTACTCATATATAAAACACTTACTTTTCTCGCGCTCGCAATTCATTGGGAGGAATAGGTTCTCCTGAGCAGGACTGGGGATGAGCGTTATGAGCAGGTCTTCCTGGGCCTTTCTTTGTATGCTCTTTTTTCCTCCATTTTGCTCGTCGGTTTTGAAACCATACCTACGAAGAATTGCATGATCATAGAAATAAATAAATATGAAATGTTATATATCACTCAAATTATAATGTAAACTAATAACACTATTTCAGTTGTTATTCATACTAGAAAAATATAAAACAAATAGCAAGATAGATATTTATCGTAGCAAATGAACAATATAACATTATCTACCCAATTACAAATAAAACACAAAAGCTTGAGTAACTGATAATCTATCAATATATTTTAGATGTTGCATTAAGCTCAAATATCTTCGTACTTCAATTTTATTTTGTTGTATAAATCGCATTATCGTGATCCGGTGCAAATTTTTAAAAAAAGGAAGTTTTATTTATTAATAGGAAGTTTTTTTTTATAATCCCTGCATGAAAATATGTTAACGGATTGGATATACCCTAGATTTGCTTTGATTGAACTTTAAAACAAAAAAACAATTCAGTTGTTTATCCAAAATTCACACATTGCTCAATTTTGACCAAATCTGAGACAACGTTCAAACTATAGCTTATATCATAGTAATACTACAATAGATCAATTCGACAGTGAGCATGCATAAGGGCCTATACGTGATGATCGATTCTCTTCATCGATTTTCTCTTTGCATTGCTACAGCTACGCGCAACAATTTTGTAGAATTTATTCAATGTAGAGTTGTAACAGGTTGCA